CCTCGGGGTCGCCCATGGCCCCCAACCCCGCCCCGTCGAAGAGCGCGCGGCAGACCGCGTCGTAGGTCTCGTCGTCGCCGACGTGCCTCCACCCGAAGTCGTAGGGCCGCCGCGAGTCGTCGAAGGTGTCGCGGTAGTCCAACAACGAGCCCGCGTCGTCGAGCTCGACGTAGTCCATGCCCGCCTGCTGAATCTCGGGGTCCAACTCGTCCGGGTCGATGCCGCGGAAGTTCGTCCGCGTCTCCACCGTCTGCGCGAGCGGCTCGTCGCCCGCGGGCACGGCGTCGACGCGCAGCCGGTACTGCGTGCCGTAGCCGCTGCGGATCACGGAGAACTTGAAGTAGTTGTGCACGGTAATGTCGAAGCCGCCGCAGCGGATCGACGCGCGGTACTCCTGGTGCCGCGTGCCGTAGCCGTTCCGCTCCGGCGCGTCGCGCGCGTTGTACGGGAGCGTCACGGGCTCGAGGTCGTCGAGGTCGTCCGTCGGCGACCGCGAATTCGGGTACTGGACGTCCAGGGGCGCGTTGCTCGAGTCCCGGTACGTGATGTGGCGCCGCGCCTCGAGCACCGACACGGGGAAGCCCGCGCCCCAGCGCTCCAGGAGCGCGTCCGCGTGCTCCCGCACCGACGACGCCGGCGCGGCGGCGCCGGCCGACGACCGCGTCCGCGCGGCGACGTTCGCCTCGCCGCCCTCGTAGTGGCGCTCGAGCACGTGCCGCGCGACGAGCAGGTGCGCGTCGAGCAGCGACCGGTCGACGTCCATGGATCCGCCGCCGCCCTGGTAGAGCGCCCGCGCCCAGCGCGAGGCCTCGCGGCGCAGCGCGATGTGGCGGCCGCTCTCGTCGCGCGCGGCCTTGGCCCAGCTGCAGCACACCGTTGCCCAGCCGGGGAGTTCCAAGGCGCCCGCGAAGTCGAGGACGAGCGGCACGGCGACGCGCGGCACCGCGCCGTTCGTCGCGGCGAAGCGGTCGTTGCGCCGCGCGATCGATCGCGCCTTGCCGAGGTCGCGCTCGACCAGCGGCGCCACCGCCGCCGCGAGCTCCTCGAAGCTCGCGCGCGACGACGGGTCTTCGACGAGTTCGAGCGCGGCGGCCACGTCCTCGGCCGCGGCGGACGCGCGGCCGACGAGGTCGCGCGCGGCGCGCGCGCGCCGGTGCAGCGTCTTGACGCGGATCGCCACCGCGAGCTCGGCGCCGCCGACGTCCAGGGCCTCGCCCGCGACGCGCGACGCGGCCTCGAGCCAGTGCGCCTGCCGCGCGCCCTTGACGAGCCGCGCGACGCGGAGCGCGCACTCGGCGACGTTCGACAGCGTCGTGGCCCCGAGCTCCGCGTTCTCGCAGCGCGCGAAGAGTTGCGCGGCGATCTGGTACTGCTCCACGGCGCCG